TTTATCCAAATATTTAACATTAAAAATAAAACTATTTTTTCGATTTTTTTCCGTAAATCTGAAAATATAGCTTCTTTTAAAATAAACCATAAACGTTATGCGTGACCCCCGCTTTAATATTATGTTGGGACATTAACACACAGCACCATCTAGTTCCATGGTAAGCTACGAGGCTTGTGCTATGGATACCACATAGTTGATACACTACACATAATAATATAACTCTAAATACATACATATTATAAATATAAACACCCATTACTGGAGTAGGTACAAACATTCGTGCTCATCACACAAACGAATGCCCCCAGCGGGATTCGAACCCACAACCGCTGGCATAGCAAGTAGGGTTACTACACACTGAGCCAAACGTGTCGTCATATGGTGCAGAAACGCGTAAAATAACGAGTTCAAGATGAAACTTTAACCTGTTATTTGGGTACGTTTTTGTGTATGTTGTATGTATAGTTGTAGGCTAATTTTCATGTTTTTTAATGAAATTGCAGTAAATAGTTCTTTCTTTATGCTTTTATTAATTTCATTATACATAAAACTTATAGATGTATCGTTATATACATATTTATGTATATTTTTTTATATGTAAAATTATGAAGTTAAACGGAACAAATGTTGTACTTGTACGTAGAAAATTTCATGTAATTGGTTTACATTACATTACTACATTTGTGAGATCGATAGGATATAATAGAAGTCAAAGCAACCGTTTCGAGAGTTATTGTGTATTTTTTTGTTTAATAACATGTCATTTGTTTTAAATATTAAACAACTTGTTTTTATATTTTCTTACTCTCTTTTAGCAATAACATTAAATTACTATTCTTCATTACTCTACAATATAATTTGAAATATGCTCTTAAAGATTTTAGATAAAATGATATTCCGCAAACAGCACTCACGCAGCTGTTAGCGCACCCGCATGTTATAAAAACTTATCTAGTAGACAGCCTTTTTGTTGAAAATATGCAAAATAATATAAAATAATTGGATTACATGGGTACATCTTATTATAAAAAAAACGTGTGTGTGTGTAGGTACTTATGTATGCACGTAAGAAGTTATACTTCTTTGGCGTAACAGAACAAAAATAGTAAAAGATTTCATTCCCTTATGTCACAACTCTCTGTTTGTAAAAGAAATGCAGCTAACTTCATCATACAGCTTTTAGCTAACTTAATCATGTCGCTTTTTGGCTGTCGGTGTGCGCGCGCATCGTAAAAATTTTATTCTCATAATTTTATCCAAACGTGCCAAAAGAAGTATATCTTTAAAAAAATTATCTATACTTATGTTCCTTCTTTTTTGTGATAGAAAATTTAAAGTGACAACTATGTAAAAAAGTTGTCACTTCACATTTTTTATCACAGTTAAAAGTCAATATAAAAAAATCATATCATAAGTTATCCTTATTAATACATATATATATATATATATATATATATATATATATATATATATATATATAAAACATGGAAGTAAAGTCGCATATATATTAAAGTCTTATGTAAGTATCATTTAATGATAACTTACCTTAGTATGTGAAATTTAAAAAGAAATTATAAATTAGCTGATTATAATTAGCTTAGCTTAAATTAAAACTAATTATAGGGGAGACTTTACATTTACCAAAGTTTTTTTTCCAATCATTTATGTTTTCATTTTTAATTTAGTGTCTAAGTAATTAAATTATTCAAAAATACTCAAAGTACTAATATTATATTTTAACATAATATATGTATAGATTTCAAGTGATTATCAACAATTTTGTCAGAGTTTCCATGTTACAGTAAAACCTTTCAAGCATTCGTATACAAATAAACTCATGTAACTACCAATGTGAACCTCTGTCAGCATATAATTCAAGTCGTCGAGCGAGAACTTTGTATTGTAGAGTTAGATTAATCCCAAGGAAGCAGTTAAGCAGATTTGCAAATCGATTGTCTTAAAATCGGCTTATGTTGCATAGATCATATAGCACTTATATCTTATATGTTTTTATATAATTTGTTTATAATTCTTAATTTTTTTTAATTGGAAATTATTACTGAGATTATTCTGGCTCCTTATCTACTCTATTCCACTCTCTGCTCTTCACTGACATCAATATGTGCCAGAATAGAACCCGTGATCTCCTGTGCTATTAGAGCAGATACATGAAACTTCTCAACGATAGTTGTCAAAATAAGATGATTGATTTACAATATTAGATTAATTGAATGTACCTACAAACATAAGGTAGCATAAAAATATTAAACACGTTTTTGTAGTTGTATATATGTTATTATAATTTTATGTATCCGTTCGTCCTTCTTCGCGCTCTCTTTTTCGATTACAAAATTAAATTTAACAGCTTCTAATATATTAAAATTTATTCTTCTATAGACAAACATACACGCACTTGAAAATACATTACGCTCCTTCTGAAATAGTAGGGTAATAATGATTTGTTCGTAAGAAAATATAAGTATGTTTTACGCCCCGTCTTAAACACAACTTTCCGTTCTCTATTCTCAATATAAAAGTAATTTTAAATGTTATTTTTTCTGTGATTACTATACTGAATACCTCAAAAAATATTTGAAAATTTGAAAATTCGTAACTTTTGATTCTGGAACATGGATGCAGGCATTTTAAGGGCTCTATATTTATATTTATTGTGATACTACGAGTATGTCATTCTATCCTCTTGTATCAGATTTATCTTAAGAGAAATATTCATAGTTAGTACATACACAATATAATACATATTTATTGTTTATAGAAATTGTATTAATCATACCAAAAAGTATTCATCATATGCATTGACGGGAACAGATAGGCGGATATTGGTGGAAGAAGGATTTGACCCGCAAGTTAATAATTAGTAAGATTATAAAATTGTTACATATTGGGCAGGTATAGTTATATTATTTATTATATATTATTTATTATATTCTTTATTGCACTTAAAATATGATACAAAAAAAATAACACAAGTAAACATAGTTCACAAAGGTGGACTTATCTCTAAAAGAGATCTCTTCTAGTCATATTTCATATTCTTCTTTCATCATTCGGCATCATACCGCGTCTGACACGAACCTATAACAAATATTACAACGACTTAGACATATTTTATCTCTCTAAACACGCTCTTAAAAAAAATGAATATGCCTTCATATACCCATAATCTATATAAATAGGTGTACATAACTGTAAATATATCCGTAACTACCATAGATCCGGACAGTTACACATAACACAGAAACACACATATACTTACAAATATACACACACACACACACACAAACGCATGCACATACACACACACACACACACACATACATACGTACACACCCGCACATACATGTAAACACATTATGTTTGATGTGCATATCAGTAGTATGATCAATTTAATTTATTCAGACTTTTTTTTCCTTTATTACTCTGTACTCTGTTGTCTAATACAAACACTATTATATCTAATAGAGTAATCTAATCTTGGCCATATTTATTAATAACTTTGTGCTCTAACTGTATATCAACAATTTTATAACGCTGTAAGATTACCAATAAATAAATAAATAAATAAACCCCTGGTTGTGGAAGAAGATTTCAGCGGGCAATATAGTGCAAAAAATATACTAAATATATACTAGAAATAAAGGTAATAATAATCACATATACATACATACATACATATATACATATATTACTTATAAAAATATATAATACTATACATATATAATACCTAATGTAAAGACTCTACTTATACATATATACATATACATACTTAATATATAAAATATGAAAATAGAGAAACGTACTGATTGATACTGTCTACATTTGTGAAAATAAATAATTTTTTAATTTACATTTAAAGATATGAATAGATGGGCTCTCATGGATGGTTTATAATTTAAAAGAAAAATATCTCTACACTATTTTCTTAAATATTTCAAATATCCAAGTCTCTACGTTTATGTTAGATGCATATAACGGTAGACTAACGTACCTAAAAAATAATATTATGTTTTGTTTGCCGAGTAAAAGTCTAGTGATTCCTTAAAATTACTTAAGAATTAATCAACAAAGGCGAAGGTTATCATAATAACGTAGAGCCAACTTAACGATTATAGAGAAAAAAATATCAATTCAGCTACTTTCATTTCCATTTAATAATTTCACAGAACTACCAACCACCAATTATAAGAACATCAATCGCGACCTAATACTCGCAAAAAGTATAGAAATTGTATATTTGCAGTAAATCCATTCGTGATCTGTTCGACCCCCGGGTGGGTGGGGTGAGTTACACGGGGTGTGGTTTGCCGTTCAATAACTTAATACTGTGGAAAGGCTTTCACGGTGAAATCTCGCGCTATAGCTCGCCCCGAGCGTCCTGGGACTTGCTATTTATTGGTTTGCTCATATCAACTCTACATTTGGAAAATAACGTCTTATAAACTTTTCGAATTGCTTTTCAATGATATCGGCTAGTGTGATAATATTTGTAAACGTACATATGTCTAATATGCTATACTTAATTATTATTGTTATTGTTAGTTTAACAATAAATAAAATGTAATTTATTTTTCTTACTATAAAGTTTTTCTTTAGCCCTTACAGTTGACATAAATTTGCGTAGAGACTCGATGACGGCCATTAATGTCAGCTTTGTTAATATCTTCATCAGAAAACAAATGTTATTATTGCTAAACATTTTAATGCATTTTTACAATCACCTGGACTTAATTAAGGAGGCGGGAATGTAAAGCGGATTAACCGATATAGTTACTAATTTATCGATCGGTAGCGGCACATCGGGCAAATAAAAGCTCGTAATCCACCCGGATGAATATATGGAGGCTATTAATTGCAGGCTCGAAGGTAATCTATCGAAACGGTGGTGCGTCGCGGGATCAGAGCGCGTCGGCCGAGGTGCGCGGCGCGGCGCGGCGTGGAGAGGGCAGGGTGGGGGGGAGCGGTGTGCGTGACGGATCATGGCGGCGCGGGGGGGCCGCGCCCCGCCGCCCTCGTTAAACGCGCCCGCCGGATACGCGTCGCGGCGGTTGAAAGCTATCCGGCCCCCGGGCGGGGCGCGCGCGATTGGCCGCTGCGCCGTGCGCTCCGTAACCGATAGCCAATCGCTGGCGGGCGGACGCCGCCCCCCCGGGCACCGCGGGGCGCGAGCCCACCGGCTCACACGGCGCGCGACTCCGGCGCGCACACTCGCACCGATGCGCGGCTCCTGGGACGAGTCCACGACGGCGGCGCTGCACGCGCGCATCCTGGAGGCGCGCGGGCCCGAGCGCGCCGCCGAGCCCGCCTGCTCCGACGCGCCCGCGCCCTTGTCTCTTGCCGCGCTCGAGCTGGCCGCACCGACGCCACTGCTGCCGCTGCCCACGCTCTCCTTCAGCGCCGCGCAGGTGGCCACCGTCTGCGAGACGCTCGAGGAGAGCGGTGATGTAGAGCGACTCGCGAGGTTCCTCTGGTCTCTACCTGTGGCCCACCCCAACGTTGCTGAGCTGGAACGTTGTGAAGCAGTATTACGAGCGCGAGCTGTCGTGGCTTTTCACGCCGGTCGCCACCGCGAACTCTACTCGATCCTTGAACGACATCGTTTTCAGCGATCGAGCCATGCTAAGTTACAAGCATTGTGGCTGGAAGCTCACTACCAGGAGGCCGAGCGGCTCCGTGGTCGCCCCCTCGGCCCCGTCGACAAGTACCGTGTGCGGAAGAAGTTTCCTTTACCGAGAACAATTTGGGACGGCGAACAAAAAACACACTGTTTTAAGGAGCGAACGCGATCACTATTGAGGGAGTGGTATCTACAAGATCCGTACCCGAATCCGACGAAAAAAAGGGAGCTAGCCGCAGCGACAGGGTTGACGCCGACACAAGTCGGCAACTGGTTCAAGAACCGGCGGCAGCGCGACCGGGCGGCCGCGGCTAAGAACCGCTCCGCTGTGCTCGGCCGCGGCTTCGCGTCCTCCTCCACCTACGACGAGGACTCCGCCGACTCAGAGATCAACGTCGACGAGGAGTAGCGCATCGACAGACTGATAGTGTAAATATTGCGGTAATGCGATGACTCCGGTCCCGACGGACGTCTAGTGAGGTTGCGATCGGACCGGTCTCCCAGTAGTTAGTCACGGGTCCCGTGATGTGATAAGGCGATGTAAAGTTATTAGGTATTTGTCGTTGAGTGTTGAACGAGTGCTTGAAGTTAAATCGGCATTTCTACGTTTCAGGTATGTACCATTTAGTGAAATTCTCGGACCGCCTTTTCAAATGTCTAATGCGAAATGTTTTTGTTGCTTGTTGCGGTGGAAAAGGATATGACAGGGTTCATTTAGAATTTATTTTTGGTGGCATTATCTCAACCACGCAAAAGGGTCAGTAAAAAGTATTTATTAAATATATTGATTATTATTTATCTTAGATAAGGTTCTGTTGTATGCCTTCCGGACGCATTTATCCAAATTATATGTATATGCTACCAATTTTCCTAACGAAAAGAATTTATTTATCATATCAATTTTAATTGTAATATAGTAAGATGTGTAGATAGTTATGTTCGCGGTATAGAATTTTATATTATCGAAATATAGAAGGTTTGTACCTGATGTATTGACGTATGGCTTCTGTTATGGTTGCAATTTTAGTTTTTATCGATGATGTTTAATTTATTTAAAAATAATAACCATTTATTTTAAAAGCTGTAAGAGTTTAGAATTTTTTATGAATAGCTGATCAGAACTACAGTAGACAGTGATCTACAATGAATCTTCAACTAAATAGGCCTAACAAGAAACTTATATCAACGTTTTCAACTTTCAATCTTTTATAAATATTATATATAATATGAATACACACGCTAACATATAAACTTTATTATTTTTAGAGAAAAATAAATGTTGCCATAACTACGATAGTAAAAAGTTAAATATTGTAGGATAATATTAAAAAAATGGCGAACGCAAAACTAAATTCGAATAACCGTTACTATGTATGTAATTTGTAAACAAAACAACTATTGTTTTACTTACATGCATGCAATCAACAACATTTTTTTATGAAATATGCAATGTCCTGAACACTTTAATTGCGTTGTTTCGCATCACTAGTTAAACTGCTATCATAATAACTCGCATATCTTGGCCTCATATTGATATTATCGCGTATATTGCAAGTAGGCCAATCTATTATATTTTGAAATGATCTACATGCTTCAATACTTACGTATATTTTATATATTAAAAAAAAAACTGTATGCTAAGGGTCTGCTATAAGGATAACATATTTGTAGTGTTTGTAGATGATAAAAAGTTTCACAACTTTTTTAGTTCAACTTGCTATGAAAAAAAATTGTTGTACTTATACTTATCTACTAGTAAGAAGCTAGGGGTTGTTCGTATTTTTTTTGGATTTTTATTGCTATAAAGTAGAATGTCTCGCCTTTTTCAGTAATATTGTCTCATGAGGTTTTTTTAGGGGACCTTTTAAGTATTTCTTATGGGTTATTGGGTTCATTCACTCGTACCTATTTTATAAAAACGTTTAACTTCATTACTGTCTCGATTATTCAAATGTATGATAGGCTACACTTTCAATTAAAATATCAATATTGTGAGGTTTTCAGTATAAAACACGATTACCTACCTACTATCAATCACATTCTATTTTATTGGTGTCAGTATTTATTGTTGAGACAGACCTACGTTATATTTATCTATATACATATATTAAAAGTGTAAGCGATCGCTGTCTGTACATGGAACATATTTGAGAAAATCTCTTTATTATTGAGGATCATTAATAACGCAATCGAATCCAAAACAATGATTTTAAGATTTTTTGTCTTTTTGTTTGGCGTTTGTGCGCGCTTAGTTCAGAAACGACTTAACCGATTTGTGTGCAGTTTCATTTAATATTTAGTATTTGTTTTATTTTAATCGGTTCATAAATAAAAAAGTTATGTCAATTTAAAAAAAAAAAACACCGAGGGTCGAAGGGAGAAGCCGAGCGAAGCGACGCGAGGTGACGTGAGTCGCTTGTTCTAAATAAATTTAAAGACTTTCCTAAAAAGAAAATAATAAAAACATTTAGATGCACAATATTTAATAAGTAGATATTGTAGTTTGCAACGTTTTTCCTTATATTTTTTTCTTATTGTCTTTCCTTCGCTCTATATAAATTTGCAAGACAAGTATTACAGCTAGTTTACAGATAATAACTATATCAATTAACATTAATTAGTAATTATTTCAATAACAGATCGATTTTGCTGTTTCTCATGTCATTTTCCACCTGTTTCATTTTTCCATTCATTTGACATAATTACAGCTGTAATAAGACTAGGTACTTAAGATCGATGATTAAACATCGATGTTTTTATTTTGGGAGGAAATTCGATTCTATTAAATGTTATCAGAAAACCGATAAAAAATTTTTGTGAAATAATGGCAACACTTTTTAATCCAAAAAAAAATATGATAGAAAGTAATGTTGCTACTACATAGTTCTTTGACATCTAATACTATTATAACTGTTTTGTATAAAAAGTCTGACGAATTCATTTCATATAAATGATATATAGTAATTTCCCACGACATTCTTCGCAATATTACGCTATGAGATCACTCAAATCAACGTCTTACGCCGTACAAGTGCACTGACTGTTGTTCTTGCTTCATTGACCGGTTAACAAGTACAGTATTTCATACTAGTTTTGCCCGCAGCTGAGCCTGAGTGAATCCGAAAAGGCACTCAATTCGAGGGGATATTTAATTTATTAGCAACTGGGCGACCAAACTTCGCTTGTTTTTTTGGCGGCGTTTTTTTGGAAAAGACAAAAATGAGTTTTTTTTAGAAAAGACACATATATAGATAAAATTAAAAAGCAAAACCTTATCTCCATACAAAATTTGATCCAAATCGTTACAGCCGTTTCCGAGATACGCGAAATATATATACAAGAATTGCTCATTTCAGATTATAAGATAGATAAAAATTGTTATAGAACGAACTAAGTGAAAGCGGTTTTCTAGTACCTACAATTTAAACCAGATGCACTTTATGCGATACTTTTAACATTTTTAGATAATTTATCTTTTAAATACGAATATGATGACTTAAAATTTTAAAGTTATAATAGTTTAATAATAAATTGACATGCTTATGTAAGTTATACTTTGTTTTTTTATCAGATGCTTCATTTAATGCAAATTTAATGGATGGGAATTAGAGGAACGCAGAAAATCTGCACTAACTACCGTTACGGGCAATTAATAAATGATTTATCTATGTTAATAAGTTGTTCTGTAATATAATGTAAGAACAAAGACGGAAATTCAAAAGTATATAATGCATTTAATAAACAAAAATAATCAATAAACGATCCATTGGGATTTTTATTATACTATCTGAAACCAAATAATAAATACTAGGACGATTGTAAAAGTTTGTTAATTTCTTAGCAAAAAATTACATCTCTTGAGAACCATAGACAATTTTTAACCCGCAAAATAATCCCCTAAATCAAAACTCCGAGCTCTACTTTTTTTTAGTCACAAGCATAGGCATCTAATATAATATTTTAAGTTTAATCTGTGTTAGGACCTTAAAACATTCATAGACAAAAATTACAATAAATATGCAATATATCGGACTATTATTATTATTAATGCAAAAGCTTGTATGTATGTGTGTTTGTTTGTGTTGTTAGCAAACGTGAATCATTAGTTTAATGCTAATATTATAAAGAGTCAGAGTTTGTTTGAACGCGCCAATCTCAGAAACTACTAATCCGATTTGTAAAATTCTTTTTGCATAAGATATCCCTTTTATTAAGGAAGGCTATATATCATCACGGAAAAATGTACGGTTCCCGTGGGATAGATTTGTTTTTGTCTAAGGACGATCCCGAAGCTGAATGCTAGTTTATTTATTATTGTTTTAAATAGTATATATATTATAGTATATATATAAATATAATATATAAATATAATATATAATATTTAAATAGTATATATATATAGTTTTAAATAGTATAGTAGTAATAGTTTATCATTGTTTTAAACGCAGTAATTTGAACATTGTTTATAATTAATGTATCGCGAACTGATACACAGATCACATATCAGATCGGCATTTAAAAGATATGGAGATTTATTATTTTTCATCACGCTACAGATTGCTGGTGTTAATGTGAAACGTGTCATGCTATAATAGATTAAACTTGTACATAATTATTATACCTATTTATTTAATCACATCATTGTCTCTGTGTAGAAAATTATGTATACTATTATATAGTGGTACTTTTAATTTTACATAGTGTAGTTTGTTTTCAAATTGAACTAAAATTGTATCGTCATATTTCTGAATAATTTTATTACGTTACCCGGTAATCGAATCTGTTAAATACGTAACGCCATTTATTAGATGCTATCGACTCACCCTCGCTTCGCTCGGGTTCGTCCCTATGTTAATTCCCCATACAAACTTTCATCCCAATTTCACCCCCATAAAGGATGATTTTCGGAATAAAAAGTATCCTATGTCCTTCCCAGGGTCTCATACTATCTTCTTACCAAATTTCATCTAAATCGGTTCAGTAGATCCAGAGATTACCCCCTACAACGTTACAAACTCACAAAATATTAGAACCTGTAGATAAAATATTTAGGTACATAGAATAATATCAATGAAATTCAAATTTTCGTATAAATGTTTAAAAAATGCGGCTAACATACTAAGTAAAGAAATATTGATGATAGAGTTATTTTGGAAGAGATATTTAAAAAACACACACAAACAAACGAACATAGAACCGCGTCCTTTTTGAAAGTCGGTTAATAAAAGATGAAAAATAATCTAAAATTATGTACTGGGAACAAGTAGCCTATCTCACTCTATAGCCGTTAAAATTGATCTCCGTGCAAAAAATATTGTGTAAGTAACAAAAACCGACATTATACATTTTCACATATAATAAGTATATATTATAATCCATACTAATATTATAAATGTGGAAGTGTGT